ACCCATTTCTAAGGGATGGACCTGTTTTTCCAGTTCAATTTGCATGTTTTCTAAGCCATAACAAGGCTTTGTTGGGCCACTCTATAAAGCCAGGAACTCAACGCTATTCCAGACATTTTGAATTGAAAAAGCTTCCTGGATGGGCAGCGAAATGTCTTCAAACTTGGAAAGAAAGTCCAGTGGATTGTTTTGATTTTTTTTTTGGGAATAGCTATGACCTGGATGATTGAGAATCTTCACCAGTGCTTTGGAGTTAGAGCCCCCCGCTCACAAACAACACAGTACAATAACAAAAACAAGAGACAATACTAAGTCAAAAAAATAAATATATGCATCATCACTTCAAAAACATTACTGTCCACAGTTGTGAGATAAAAATAAAATAATTTAATATACAGAATATCCATGTTCATATCAGACCATATGATCAGTGCATTAGGTCTGCATTGATCTGTCTACTATATTTAGTACTGTATATACATTTTCCTGGGCTTGCGTGCGGAAATTTTGTCTGCAGGGCTGCCGTACGGAGTGCCGTGAAAGCAAAAAAATATGTAATTTTGCCTGCAAGGAGCTCGTGGACGCTTCAAGCAATAGACCAAGCTTTAGCTTCCAGCCTCCCTCAGCTAACTCACTCAAGCTGTCACTGTCCCTCTTCCTGACCTTCCACTACTGATTTCCACACTTAGCCACACCCCCTCAGCATGCCTTGGCACCAATCACTTTGGTGGCATTTTGTTCAAATTTATAGTGAGGATGGAGTTATATTAAAGGAATAGTACACCCAAAACATGATTAGCCTTCATTTTCTACTCACCCCCATGCTGAACAACACTCTGGAGTACTTTTTTGATATCTCAAATGCATCTGGAGATCTGGGAGGCTTCTTGCTGTCTGCTGACATTCAAATAATGGAGGTCTATGGCGCGCCCGAGGCAGAAAGGTCCATAAAAGTCCACAAAAAACGTGTCAATATTCCTCCATACTGCTCGTCCAATGTATTCCAAGTGTCCTGAGTGGGTAGCATCCAGAATTTACTCGAAACGAAGTCATTTAGAATGTTTTTAGAGCATAAACAGTAGTGTATAGGATTTCCTGAAAGCGCGTTCACGAGTCTACGGAAACCGCGGCAGACCAAACCAGAGGAAAGTGCGCATTCAGCGTCTGCTCTGCCAATAATGCAAGCGTAGAAGAAGAAATGTGCTGTTTACCTGTGCAAAGAAAGAAACAACGAAAGAAAAATATCTGAGGACTTCAGTGTTGAGGAAGAGCATGAGTTCTTTGCCGAGCTGAATGCGCACTTTCGTCTGGTTTGGTTTGACGCGGTTTCCGTAGAGTCGTGAACGCGCTTTTAGGAAATCCTATACACTACTGTTTATGCTCTAAAAACATTCTAAATGACTTCGTTTCGAGTAAATTCTGGATGCTACCCACTCAGGACACTTGGAATACATTGGACGAGCAGTATGGAGGAATATTGACACGTTTTTTGTGGACTTTTATGGACCTTTCTGCCTCGGGCACCATAGACCTCCATTATTTGAATGTCAGCAGACAGCAAGAAGCCTCCCAGATCTCCAGATGCATTTGAGATATCAAAAAAGTACTCCAGAGTGTTTATCAGCATGGGGGTGAGTAGAAAATGAAGGCTAATCATGTTTTGGGTGTACTATTCCTTTAAGTTATATTTTAAAACCACGCTGTGCAACTTTTAGCCACTAGGAGGGGCTAGACCTGTAAGTTCCAGGTTTGGTGGCCCCTGAAAGTCCCTAACAGGTCAGCACTTCAGCTGTTAGAAATAGCCTACTTCTGTGTTTTAAAACCTTATAACAGACAACTTTGGACCAGTAGACTAAGTCATGGAGTTACTGATAACTGAAGGCAAGATTCAACCATCTAGATTAGACAGGGGCGCCAGGAATTTGGGGCCCCATGAAAGACATTGAGATTGGGCCCCACACAAATAAACTGTATGTAAGCTTTTTAACTGCTGTAAGGATGCATTGATTTGTTTCATTCATGTAAAATGACATGCGTGTGGCATGACGGGGGGACCTGATGAGATGCAGGTTGGGGTTTTGGTCAATATATTCATGCTTTGTTTTGCTGTTTACTGCTAAAAAATGAGGGAGAATACAAAATGATTTATTTCACTGCTGCTGCAGTGAGGTGGTGCTCTGGGTCATGTGACCTGTTCAGTGACAGATCTGACCCTTTCGGGTTACATAGGAAAGCATTAAAGAGGAGCAACATGCAGAGCAGTACACAAAATGAAAGAATGAAAATAAATAGTGCATCTCTATTCTTCAAGGTTACTTTGATTCCACATTGGAGGTATAATGTTTTAAAGTTTTATTCATAACATTTGAGCAAAATAGAAAGCAGAAACTATTTACAATAATACTTTGACATTTTTACTTTTGATTCCATAGATTTATGCTGGTTTTGATTTTGCACTCCACCCCTACTAACCAATGGCTGCAGCCAAGGCTACTAATCTCTTAATGTTACATTTATCCTTTTTGGCTGTTGCCTTTCAAAGTTCTTATCTCAACCTTGATATCTGCCTTTGGTTGTAAGGCTTCATGTTACTTTTGATTTGCATCTGTCACATTTGCACAAATTCCAAGTTGCTGGTTATTGTAATATCGTAATTCTATCCCACAAACTTATTTTCATTTTTTTTAGGTTATTGCCTTTAAAAAATAATTGTGTGAAAATTTGAAATAAAAAATAAATGATTATGGAATAACTGAGGAATTGCTTTTTTGGGAAGAGTGCAAGTTTATGTACCAAGAGGTGCATGTTGACCGAGAAATTAATTCGGGTAAATGAATTCAATTAAGCTGATAAACGGCTCAGAAGTTATGTTGTAAGGTCAAAAACTGATTTCCTGTTAAAAAGCAGAACTTTTAGTCTCATCATTTACGACAGGTCTTGAAGCAAAAGAGAAACCCCAGACCATCACACTGCCACTACCGTGCCCAGCTGTTGGTTTCATGTATTTTTTTATGAAATGTCTTTATCTCTGAGATGTTTTCCAAAGATTTCACAGATCATCAAGGTGCATGTGTGGCCTGTCTTTGTGTTTCCTTTGATCAGCAGTAGTTATACCTTGATACTCTCCCATAGAGGCTGGTTGAATTGTTAAAAACTTATGTTATCTAACAGATAACATTAAAGTAAGAATATAAAGATTTTTTTGTTTTGGCAAAGTTGAGAAAAATGGTTTTAATGTTAGAATGATTAACTCCATCCTGCTGTTTTCAGGTCTGCCTGTTGGGGGAGTCACAGACATTGTTTAAATGTGATGACAGCAGCAGCAGCAGTTAGTTTATTGGAGTGCAGAGAGATCCTGATCTCATCTCAGACTGAATCCCAGCAGATCTCTGGGTTTTAAATCCAGCAGCAGCAGCAGACTGAGGTGGAGACAGGAATGTTTCACCCAGCAATGTTTCTGCTGTTCAGGGTCTAATCTTTACAAACCAAGTGAAACAAGACAGTGAGACAATCCCTTTTGTTTTGCTTTCCATGAGCTGCTGTACCTGCCTGAACATGACACATCTGACTGAACCGGAGAACGTTCTGGCTGTAAATCCCTCACAAAGAGCCTGGCTGCTCTGCTGTTCACAGTCAGGTTACAGAGAAACCCTGCAGCAATGCAGGCAGGGGCAGAGCTACCAGCAGACCTGGATTGGTCTTTATCTCTAAAATATTTATATCTAAATCAGAAAAAATGTTCTGATGAACTCTATCACTGTTTCTTTGCTACATGACGCCCCATGCAGGGAAAAGGTGACTTTTTAGCTTTTTCTCATATTTACCAAACTCTACACTGAAGGCAACATGCTTGTTTTTCCTCAGGGGGGGTTGGAATGTACTGGACACTTAAAAAAACAAACATTTATTTAGTCAAACTAAAAAACCTGATCAGGAAAGAGTGACTAAATATCAGTGCAGTGAAATACTCTCTGTATTTTCTCCAAATCAAAGCTGCTGGTAAGTGAAAATTAACTTCTGATCCAGTAACAATTTAAGCCAGAGCATTTTTTTAGGCTATCTATTTGTTGCTCTGTATGATTGCATCCCTTTTTCTTTCATCTCTTTGCAGGAAAACAAAAAGAACTGATTGTTTTGTGCTTGAAGAGCATAAAACCAGCTGTGGACCACAACCAGAAGTCTTCCTTTGTCTGCAGGTATTTGTAATATCCTGAGGGCAGATTCAGGGTGTGTCCCACAGGTTCACAGCTGAAGCTTCACTATCTGAGGATCTGTGAGCAGCTATAGAAAGAACAGCAGCAGCAGACCTATGAGGCTGACCCATGAACATGTTCTAACGCATTTAATCCACAATCACTTAAAAACAAGCTGCAAACAATGTTTAATAATCCAACCATATACTCCACTGCTTGCTCACTTGAATTAATCACCATAAAGAGCAAAATACATGAATAAATTCAGAAAAAAACATAATAAAATAATCTGATTCATACATTTTTTTATGAAAACATGTATCTATGCTAGTATTACTAATTTATGAATGTTCTAATTAATAATTAAGTGACTATTTAAATTATTGTTTTTATTGTTCTAGTAATTGTTGATGTTTTGATTTATTATTTAGCTGTTTTTAAATGCTGTAACAAACGCTGCCATTAATTACTATTAAAGTAACCATTACAGTAATAATTCATTTTTGGTGGAAATAGAAGCAGCAGCAGTGAATTTTCTCAGATTATATTAGATTGTCCTGAACACATGAGAGGGGCCAATAGGGGCCAGACTGAGGGCCACTAATGTGTTCATCTACTGTCTCTTTCATGCGACCTGAAGACATAAATGAGGCGGAGAAATGTCCCTGGAGGGTTTTTATTGAAGGCATTTTGATCGTGGGCGGGGTCTGGATCCCCCCTCCCCAGCCTGTTTCTCAGCAGCTAGTCTGAGTCTGGATCAGAGCTGATTTTGATCATCATGCGCTCTGGCCGAGGTGTGATGCGGCTGTAAGAAATGTCCTGTTTCCTCTCCTCTCCGTGGAGGTGTGTGCTGAGTGTCACAGTGGGCGTCTCTGCGTGAAGCGCAGCCTCCTCCCAGCCAGGCCACTCCCGGGAAGCGCGCCGCCCGCCTCGAGCACTGACGGACGGACGGACCGTCCCCGCTGCTCTTCCTCAGTGCGCCTCGGCCGTCTCTCCTGCGCGCATCTGTCCTCCTGGCTCCTGGTTGTGGATGAAGGCATGTGGGAAGGACTGTGACGCTCCGAGCAGCATGTAGCACCTGGAGCTGCCCTCCTCCTCCTCCTGCTCCTCTCGGCTCTGCGTGTTCTCCACCTCCCGGAGCGCTCATTCTTCCGCTCCGCATCGCCTTCAGCGGGATTTTTTATTAGTTTTTTTCTTACGGGGATCTTGTTGGGGGTGGGTGGGGGTTGGGGGTGCTCAGGCCTGTTTTTAGAGGAGTGAGTCTCCATCCCTCAGCACCTCCCGGTCGATGGTCGTAGAGGAAGCTTCCATCTTGAGCAGCGCTTCTACAGTCGGAACCATGGCGAGCGACTCCCCGGCGCGGAGTCTGGATGAGATAGACCTGTCTGCACTAAGGGTAAATATCTTCAGCCCGCGTGCGCGTGTAGAGGTGTCCTTTCCTATGTGTGCGCGTGCATGTGCAACACCTGTCCCCCCCTCCTCCCCTCCCCTCCCCTCCCTCCATCCTCCCTCTCCTCTCTCAGGATGTGTCTCCAAATGCGCTTTCCTCTCCTCTACCTGTAGCGAGCACGCGGAGGCTTTAATCTCAGATGTGCGCGTGCATGATGAGATGTGTGGGAGGTGTGTGTGTGTGTGTGGTGAAGAAGCAGTGCGCGTGTAAAGCGGACATTGATTGAGGAAATAAGGTCGGTGATCAGAGATATCGGTGTGGGATCACTCAGCTGCTGCTTCTGGTTCTGCTTAACCATTGGGACGTGACGTAATGAGGCCCTGAGCTGCTGCTGCTGTGTGTGCGCGCGCGCGTTCACCACCCCGCACTCTCGCGGCATCATAAACGCGGCTCTTGTCTGCACTATGTGGGGCAGATGTTAAAAGCCGCTCACTGACACTTTGCACAAAGCCATCGGATGCACGCGCACTCTCCAAACACGCGCGCGCTCTACCTCCTCTCCTGTTCTCTCTCTCAATCATTCTTTCTTTTTTCCTCGTGCACACGCGCATTTGCACGCACGCGCCCTCACTGCGGGAGGGGGTGGTGGTGGGGGGATAACAGCGATTATAACCGCAACAGGAGCGAGTTCCGCCATTTCGTGATGTTGTGGCGACAGCAGCCTTTTGGGTTGATTTTTTTTCTGTATCACAGCGGCTGTTTGTGCACGCTGACAGGAAGTGCAGTACCGGAATGTGTGCGCGTGCACCCAGGCATGCATGTCAAAAAGAAAACTGACTACAGTTTGTTACAGGTCACCCTAAAAGGAGGCGCGTCATGGCTGAATGAAGCATGTCACATGGATGTGCCCCCCCACATCTCTATCCTTTCCCAGCTGCTTATGCAACTCAGCTGTACCTGCAGAGCAACCATCAAGTCTGGACATGAGCGGCGGGGTGGGACTGAACCTGAGCGTGTCTGTAACGCACTGAAAGGCGTGGGGGTGGGGGGGTGGGGCGGTGATAGAGACAGAAAGATGTGAGGAAGAGGTTTCTGTGCAGCCAGAACCTGTTCTTTCTCCATCAGTGGAGTTCAGAGCAGAAATTGGGTCAGAGAAAAAGAAGGGTTGGTGGGCGGTGGAGGGGGTGAGGGAAGCTTTTTGCCACACTTCCTGTTTCTGTGATCGCCTCCTCTCCCACCCTGTCTGGAGTCTTCATGGTCCACACTGGATGTTTAAATGCTGCCTGTCAGGGTTTATAAATAGCTGTCTGACTGTCACATATAGGAACATGATTGTGTTATATCACCTGGTGAATCATTCTGGAGGAGAATCCTCTCATGCAGAGCCTAAAGTGTTATATGAGGCCAAAGCAGTGTTTCATGAGGTGTTTTATAATATATTCACATCATTGCAGCTTTTATGTATTTCTAAAGCTACATCATAAACATTGTGTATTTCATATCACAGACCATCAGAGAATTGCACAAACTATGGGGCAGTGTTCCACTTTTCATTTTTCAACCATTCGTCTTTGCAGAGGAGCCCAAACTCAGGCACATTCAGTGGAGAACATCTGTAAACATCTGTTCTGTCTTACCATAGACTCCCAGTTGTCAGTCTAGCTATGCTAATATACACTATATTGCCAAAAGTATTTGCTCACCTGCCTTGACTCACATATGAGCTTAAGTGACATCCCGTTCCTAATCCATAGGGTTCAATATGACGTCGGTCCACCCTTTGCAGCTAGAACAGCTTCAACTCTTCTGGGAAGGCTGTCCACAAGGTTTAGGAGTGTGTTTATGGGAATTTTTGACCATTCTTCCAGAAGCGCATTTGTGAGGTCGCACACTGATGTTGGACGAGAAGGCCTGGCTCTCAGTCTCCGCTCTAATTCATCCCAAAGGTGTTCTATCGGGTTGAGGTCAGGACTCTGTGCAGGCCAGTCAAGTTCATCCACACCAGACTCTGTCATCCATGTCTTTATGGACCTTGCTTTGTGCACTGGTGCACAGTCATGTTGGAAGAGGAAGGGGCCAGCTCCAAACTGTTCCCACAAAGTTGGGAGCATGGAATTGTCCAAAATGTCTTGGTATGCTGAAGCATTCAGAGTTCCTTTCACTGGAACTAAGGGGCCAAGCCCAGCTCCTGAAAAACAACCCCACACCATAATCCCCCCTCCACCAAACTTTACACTTGGCACAATGCAGTCAGACAAGTACCGTTCTCCTGGCAACCGCCAAACCCAGACCCGTCCATCAGATTGCCAGATGGAGAAGCGCGATTCGTCACTCCAGAGAACGCGTCTCCACTGCTCTAGAGTCCAGTGGCGGCGTGCTTTACACCACCGCATCCGACGCTTTGCATTGCACTTGGTGATGTATGGCTTGGATGCAGCTGCTCGACCATGGAAACCCATTCCATGAAGCTCTCTGCACACTGTTCTTGAGCTAATCTGAAGGCCACATGAAGTTTGGAGGTCTGTAGTGATTGACTCTGCAGAAAGTTGGCGACCTCTTCGCACTATGCGCGTCAGCATCCGCTGACCCCGCTCCGTCAGTTTACGTGGCCTACCACTTCGTGGCTGAGTTGCTGTCGTTCCCAAACACTTCCATTTTCTTATAATACAGCTGACAGTTGACTGTGGAATATTTAGGAGCGAGGAAATTTCACGACTGGATTTGTTGCACAGGTGGCATCCTATCACAGTTCCACGCTGGAATTCACTGAGCTCCTGAGAGCGACCCATTCTTTCACAAATGTTTGTAAAAACAGTCTGCATGCCTAGGTGCTTGAATTTATACACCTGTGGCCATGGAAGTGATTGGAACACCTGATTCCAATAATTTGGATGGGTGAGCAAATACTTTTGGCAATATAGTGTATCTATAGCTCTGGGTTCCTTGTCTTGCCCCAGGCTCATCCTCTGTGGCCTAAAGGGCAGATTATACTTCTGCATCCGCACACATCAAATATTGTTTGCGTCTGGTTGCGCACCAGTTTTGCTGGTATGCTTCTGCACCGTCGGTCTGGAATTTCTAGGGACGAACAGCCGTTTCCCGCCGAAGCGCAAGGGGGAGCATATTGGAGAACTTGCGAGAACTTCTGTGGATGGTCATGAGAACTTCGTTTTTGCAGAGACCTTGGCATCTTTATATAATTTGTCTGAGGCATTGTATAAGTGGTTGTACTTCCAAACCTCCGCGATTAACCTTTCGTTATAGTTGTCCATTGTAGTTGTTCTTCGGTTTTTAAAATGGCGGGTTTGCGACCATTCAACGCATAGTCAGGATTTTTTGAGGTGCCCCACGGCGGGTGCAGAACCTCTGAACGGGGGCGTGGTTGCGCACAGAGACAGATTTGACGGTTGCAGAGGCTATGCGTCAGAAGCATAAATTGGCCTTGGATAAAATTCCCCTCAATCTTTTCATTAACTCTGTCCAGTTTCTTTATTCCTGTTGAAAAGAAGCATTCCCCACAGCATTATGGTGCCACCACCGTGTATCTCTGTAAAGATTGTGTGTTCAGCTTGACCTTTTTTTTTTTGGTCTGATCAGACATCAGCCACCATTTCTGCATGTTTTCTTTAGAATAGCTAGTAGCAAACTGCTAATAAGTGTATTTGTATTTTAGGGCTAAAACAATCAAATTAGTCATCATTAATAGATTATTGAAATAATCGTCAACTAATTTAGTTATCGATTAATCGTTTACTGGAGTACAGAGACTTTTAAACATGCCTTTAGCTGACAGAGCGACCCACTTAGAGCAGTAACTAGTTTTTTTTCTCCAGTGGAAATTTAGAAACGCTTGTAAAGACAGAGTGGTGTTCTGTTTAAGGTAGATGTCAGCTTGATGAGAATTTTTTTTCTGGACCAAAAAAAAACAAAACAAGCTAATTTACTTCCAGAGGTTAGATAAAGAATTTAAATCCTTTAAATCAGTGAATCCCTCAGTCATGTGAGGTAAACACATCCTCCTTGAACCCTAGTCGGCCTTGGCAGATGGCCGCTCACACTGAGCCTGGTTCTCCTGGAGGTATCTTCCTGTTAAAAGGGAGTTTTTCCTCTCCACTGTCGCTACAAGCATGCTTAGTGTGAGGGATTGCCTTTGAGTCAATGAGTCGATGCATTCAACTGTTTTTTCTTAGATAGAAAAACTTTGAATCAATTTCACTGGATGATCTGGTGAACTGTAAAGGGCCTTGAGATGACATGTGTTGTGAATTGGAGCTATAGAAATAAACTGAATTGATTTGAAATTAATTTTGCACATATGAACAACAATAATGTGGCTTTACCTACAATATTGGAAACACAATGAGAAAAAAACATTTAGATATATTCAAAACTGAAAACATCTAAACTAAAAAAATGACCAGAATGATTAAACTAGTTATAGCTGAATGGCTAGCTAATTGTGCTGGACTAGTTAGCTTCTTAGCAGTTTTAACTTTCTGAATTAGTACTTAGTAACATTTTAATAAATCTTCTTTAAAGCCCATGTGATTGATGTTAGAGTGTTTGTGAGACAACTGAGGAGCCTGACGTCCCGCTTTAACGTCTCAACTTTCTATGCCAGCGTCCTGGTGGCCGTCGCGCATCTCTTCTTTGGTTCTTGTGGTAAAATGAACATCTGTATAGCAGCCTGATGTAAGGCCATTAGCATCGATAAGCCTCACGCTTCGCTACCCTCTGGTGATCATTTATCAGATTTAGGAGACTATGACTTTGCTGAGCTAGCGAAAAAGCTTCTGAATTCTAGTTTACTAATATCCCAGACAACCTAAAATATTGCCAAATTTTGTTACATTTGAATTGCTTATTTTGCATTCATTTTTAACTAGCATATTGTCGTGAAAACATGTTCCATTTTGCTGAAGAAAAAAGGGATTTTTTGTCATTTTGATCATTTTTTAATTCATGTTATTTCTCATATTCAGTCCACATGGGATTGAGTTTCAAAT